GGGCGCGGCCGTGGTGCCGCCTCCCGCGGGTGCCGCTGCCGTTGTCGCCGTGGGGCGAGGCGGAGTAGAAGGGGCCGCGGGCGGGGAGGGCTCGTGTGAACGGCGGCGGGATCCGGGGGGTGTTGTCTCGCTTGTCCCGAGCACCCTGACGCACGTCCGTTGTGTGAGCAGGTCCCCAGGCCCAGCATGGCTGTAGTGGTGTGGAGCGTGGCCGTAGCCTCTGGAGATGGGGCTGCCCTGGGGGTGCGCAGCTCCATAGTGCAGACTAGCCCCTGTCGGGGCACCACCTCAATGGGGCAAACCTCCAGATCTGCGGGAGGGGGGCCGCCGGCAGGCCCTGCTATACCCTTTGGGTGGAGCAGGGGTGAGTGACGGCGGGTCCCAGGGGCCGCACGCACTTTGCTTTCTCCTGGGCCATTGTCCTCGTTCGCTCCAGGACCGCGAGGAGGTCTTGTTACTTTTGCCTTGTTAGACCTGTAAGATGGCTTCTTCCTCTCTGCTTGTTGCTGCCTTTTCTCACATACAGCGCACGCTTTTTCCCTCTGAAAGGAGCTGTGCGTGAAGCTGGGAAGCTGTTGTCTTGGCTGGGAAAGGAGCGCTCCTGCACACCATGCCAGCTGCACACAAGTCTTGTGCTTACCTGTAGCTATTGGCAAAGCACCGCAGGCTGTGCCCAAAATGGCAAGCGACCAGCTGGCAGTGTCTTGAGGAGGCGTGTGACATGGGAGATGCTGTGCCCTGCAAAGGGCTGGGGCCTAACCCCAGGTGACAGAGTACGTCCTCCTGGAAACGGAGAGCGTCCAGGAAGTGTGGTACCAGGAACACCCTGTGTGGCAGACTCTCTCCTGCACTGGCACTTCCTGGATACTCAGTGTTCCCAGGAGGGCTTGCTCTGTGACCCGCAACCGGCCACGGCTTGAGGAAAATCTCGTTTTTCTATATTTTGCCTTCCCAAAGCAAGATGTGTTACTGGGGGTGTGTTGTATGTGAGGAAACGTGATACTCGCTCCAGCATTATAAACCAAGGAGCTCCAAGTACTTGTGTGTGGTACAATGATGGGCACTAGTAAACAGCCTAAGATCACAATGCCTGTATCTAGAATTAGAATTAAACTCATCAAAGCATACCTTGAAATTACCAAGCACAGATTTAAAGTAAAATCAGGTTGATGCTTTTCATTCAGCAAGACAGGAAGGTCAAACCCAGCAGCGAAATATCTGCCAAGTTTCCACATTCTTAATAAGGATTTCTCTGGAACGAAGCTTGCATCAAACAGATCCAGGTGGCTTCTAGTCTGCAAGTGTGTTGCGTCGAACCGCGTTCCAACTGAATTGTAATGGTTGTGGGTGTGAAATGATATGCATGGCCATTCTTCTTTTTTGTGAAGAGTTGCATTTGGAACCAAAGCAAAATGGCTCGAGGACGCAAGAGCAATAGCATCAATCAGAGTGACTTCACTAACAGCACCAATCCGCAGGATTTAGAGAGAAGACTTTTTGTCGGCAATTTGCCTACAGACCACATGACCCGGGAAGAAATGGAAGAGATATTTTCAAAATATGGCAAAATCAGGGGTTAGTATTTTATTTTATGCCTTTTAATGGCTGGGAAGTTAGAAACCTAATGTTCATGCTTATCAAAATGTCCTCTGGTCATTTCTTTTTTTAATATAAATAAATAATCCCCAAATAATTAATGATGGCTTTCCTTATCTGCATTTTCTTTGAATGCTAAGTTTCTTTGGTAAAACTGAAGCCTAAGGCATGTTAGACTGTCCTGTGATATTCTCTATTTTATCTTTTGTGATTTGAGGTATAATACTATACCATCCAAGTCTGTTCTTTATTTTTATCTTAATTGGCTCTTGGTCACTGTCCAGCTGAAGAAGCTGACCTGCTTTATGACCTTTTACAGCTGCATACAGTTTTTCCTTTTTCACATTTTGTAAACTCTGGCCTCTATTTAATGTGTGTGTGGGATAGATATCCTTTCTATTTTCTGGGCCTGGCCTGGTGGGGTTTGTCATGGCCTGGGTGTTGTAGCGCTGTCCCCTACTTGTAACTGGTCTTGCACTGCTGTTAATTTTTCCAGCCCTCAGCATGTTCCATGGCTATGGGTTCGTGCAGTATGACCGTCTAGAAGACGTCCAGGCCGCTCTGGACGGTGAGAAGGGCCGCCTTTTTAAAGGGTATAGATTAGGTAAGGAAAACTGCTACATGCTCTTCTCCTGACCCCAGCATGCATTCCAGTAGAAACATGGGGCTTTATCTTTAAAGCTTGGTGGAAGGACCATTGTGTGAAACCTGCTTAGCATTAGTTTAAAAAAAAACCCCCAACTTTCTAGGCATTGTATTTCTGCGAGATCTTTCTTCCAGTCTTGCCTGATATGGCAGTTATAGTGCTTTCTCCTTGTTACCTTGGTGTTTCTTCAAACTGGTTTGGTTGTGTTAGTATTTAATATTTACCAACACAACAATGACTGCAAAAAACAAACAAACAAACAAAAAAACCCCCAACCCTCTTACCTGGTATTTCATGGAATTTCTTTATAAAATCCCTGGTAATTCAGTATCTGCCCTCATCTGGAAGTTAGTGGTTGCTTACATGAAAATGATCACACAAAGCATGTATATAAAGTTTTGGCCTGCAGTTAAGTATGTACATACATGCAAGGTGCTTTAAAGAAAACTGGTTTCACAGAGCTGAAAACAGCTGAGCCAAATCAGCTGGAAGGAAGATATTAGCCAGAAGGATGAATAAAATGGAAGCTAATTAGGAGCTGTATGCTAAATGTCCAGACAACCATAATTGCAAAAGGCTATGCATCTGACTTAGTAAGGGTATAGAAATAGTAATTAAAATAGAAGATGGAAGAAGTGGGTGGTGATGGTAAAAATAAATAAATAAAAAGTTTAAAGATAGAAATGTTTTAAGTTTGATAAGGAAAGCAAAAGGGCACAAGGAGAAATCTGTAGCCAACAGAATTAAGAGTAATAAAAATTAAAAAAACAAAACAAAATGGGGGGGGGGGAACCGACCAAAAAAAAAAAAAAAACCCCCCAAAACACAAACTCTAACAATGACTATTGTTTCAATACCAGATGGAAATGGAACAATTGTCAATGATAATGCATAAAAGCTTTCTCACTGTTCAGTGAATATTTGCTCTGTACTTAAAGCTAAATGATGTATTTTTATCACAATGATAACATATTTTCCATTCTACTACTATGGAAGAGAATGTTAAAAAGCAGTTGCTAAAATTGGATACGTTAATCCTTAGGCCTGTATAACCTGTGTCTCAGAGGTTTAAGAGCTAGGAGTTCTTTTTCATTAATTCATCATCATCAATCAAAGTACAGAGAAGGGCCAGAAAGATAGGAAATTGGCTGAGAGTGTTGGGACTCTTCAGCTTGGAAAAGAAGTGATTGGGAGATTTTTATGGGAAAGGTCTGTAAAATAATGAATGACTTGAACAGGCTAATAGGGAACTGTTTTCTACTTTCTTATAACAGAAGAGTTAAAGGGCACTTGAAATTAGCAGGCAGCAAGCAAAACAAGTTATGTTTTTATGGAATTAAAAGTAATATAGGAATCTGGTTGCTACAGGGCATTGTGGAAGCTAATAGTATAACCAGGTTCAAAAAGGAGTTACCAACTTTTATGACAAGTTGGTCCATTGGTGGCTAGTAAATAGGAGTGTCAGGGATTGTAACTTCAGGCTCACAACATTCCCAAATCTGTGAGTGCTGGTGACTGGCAAGGAATGACGGGGTATGAATCACTCTACCCATGCCTCGTTTCGTATATGCTTCCTTGGAAGTATCTGCTGCTTGCCACTGTTGAAGACTGGTCTAGGTGGAACTCTGGTCTGGCTAGCTTGGGGGCCAGCAGCCCCTGTCAGGATAGAGGCTGGAACAGCCTGGATCCAGTCTGACCCAAGCTGCAGGGCTTTGGCCGTGCATCAGCTAGGGTGGGGTAGGGGCTCCCTGCACCCCTGCCGAAGCCATGCACCTGGGAGCTGCACTTGCACCACAGCTCTCCTCTCAACTCCCCAGCTGCAGTATGAGCACAGCTTCCAGCTGGGGGAGAACAATAGCAGTGTGGGAAAACTGTCAGCTTCCCAGCCCCAGTGCAGCTACCCTCCATCTGGGATCTGTGTCCATGTAACCACTGCTTTCTCCCAGACCCGCTGCTCCCCAGCTGTGGTGCGAGTGCAGCTTCCCCCCAGAAGGGTTCCGTGCTGCACTTGCAGGCCCCATGTTGTCAGCCCCTGAGCTAGCTGGTATGGCAGTTCTCATTAAACAATATCAGCATTAAGAAAATAGCATAGTCTTGGAAAATGGAGGAAGCTCCAGAGGTCAGAATGAATGCTGAAAATTGCACTGATATTTAAAAAGGTTAAGGGGGGTGACCTGAGTAATATAGGATTGCCAGCCTGACATTGATCCAGGCAGAATAATGAAGTGGCTGATAGAGGACTCTATTAATAAATAATCAAAAGAGGTTGAGGTAATTAACACTAGTCAGATGGGTTCAGGAAGAACCGCTCTTGTCACGCTAACTTGGAACCTCACAAAAATCACAAGGTTTGGGTGTAAAGACAAGGGTGCTTACGTAACAGCCTCTAGGAATCTGTCAGACTTGAATGTGTCCATGCTTGTTTTATATCTTCAGTGGATTAAAAACTGGCTAATGGGTCTCTTGTTGCGACTGCTTGTGGGGATTGTCATTGAGTGGGTCTTTTTTTTTTTTTAATGGGGTCCCATGCACATCCATTTCCAGGTATACCTTAGTTAATATTTTTGTCATGACATGGTGGACTATAAAATGATTACAGACACTAGGCAAGAATGCAGTGAACTGGGGAATGGAGAGAGCAGGTCACCTGGTGCTGATTTGGATTGCTTGGTAATCTAGATGCAAACAGAAATAGGTGCCTGTTTAATTTTACTGTCAGGTCACCTAGGGGTAAAGAATAGAGACCATGTTGATAGAGTGAAGGCTGCCCCCAGGGAAGTGGCAACTCAAGTTGGCAGGGGCAGATCAGCTGAGCTGAGCCCAGCCTAATGCCATGACCCAAAAAGCACGTGTTGTCCCTAGATCTGCTAGCAGGAAGGGGCTTCAGTAGGAGCAGGGGGATGATACTACCTCTGGGCTTGGGTCTTGTGTGGCCGCCACTGGAATCCCATGTCCGTTTTTGGCGCCCATGGTTCAAGAAGGATTTTGTAATTGGCCAGCATTTGGGAAGAGCCACCAGAAGGATTAAAGGATTGGGGAACATGTCTGAAGTGTGGTGACAGAAAGGGGACTACAGTCTAGCAGACAAGACCAGGGCTGGAACTTGAAGCTGGACAAATTGGGGTTGGACATGAGTAAGTAACAGGGCAGTTTACCAAGGGCTGTGCTGGAGTCTCCATCACTAGCAACTTTAAAATCAAGATTGGATTACTTCCTTGTAAAAGATCTGCTGTAGTTCACTGCAATTGCATTAGCCTTGAGGTAGGAATTAATTCGAGGAAATCTTACAACTTGTGCTATTCAAGAGATTGGACTGACTGATAACAAAATGTCCATTCTGGCCTTAATCTATGAAAATTCTTCAAGATGAAAGTTTTGTTTTTTTTCCTGAAAATTGTCTTGTAAATATGAATCTGTAAATGCTGCTGGCACTAAATAAAATGTTGTTGAAAATCCTTCAATTTGCAGAAGAGAAGAATCCTTGTGAAGGGTGCTTCTTTCAGTAGACTTTTTGTTCAAATTTATGTATAGTTGAATTTCATTTTTGTAATGATCCATGGGATTGATTGTGGCACTATAATCTAGATTTCCGTAGTAACATCTTGAAATAAAAAAACAAAACAAAAAACCAAACACTAAACAAAAGCAGCAGATAGTGCTTTTCTGTAAGGGGGGCCTGGTAATGTTATGTTGCACTGGAGTTCTTAACTCCATTTTTGCACTGCACTAGACCTCTGCCACAAATGCACTGACACCCTTTTCTGTCCCTGCCAAATAGATCTGTTTGAAGAGTAAACGCCCCATGTATATAACAGTAAATAGAATAATAGAGTTGGAAGGAACCTCACAAGTGGTTTAGTTGAGGGATATCGAATGTATGGCCTGCAGACTGGATCTGGCCCATGGGTGTGGATCTATCCTTCCTGTGTGGCTTCTTGTGGGCTGGATTTTGCCTGTGGGACTTGTTGCCACAGCAGTGTTCATTCCTGTAGAAATGTGCCATTTCAGCACTGCTCTAGAACCCATGGAACTAATTCCAGTCGCCTCCCCACACCCATTTCCTGCTGGCCAAAATTGGGGTTTTCAGTCACTCTTGGAAATTCAAATTGGGAGCCAGAAAGAGGCCCGGGGGAGCAAGCAGCTGTGGTGTTAACTCCCTGGGTTCGGAAGCCAGCGCTGTAACAGGTGTGACAGCCGCGGAGACCAGCACCACCACTGCTCACGGGTCAGCCAGCCCACGGGAAGCTTCACGGTCTGGTTTCGGCCTGCAGGGCTCACCACATTGGACAGCCCTGGCTTCATTCATCCTCTGGCATAAATTCAGAATTTGCTCTCCTGAAGTACAGTAGGAAGCTGTCGTGCTTACAGACACCTGTCCATTCCTTCCTCCAGGGAGGCTGTCTGTCTGTAATGAACAGTCCCACAATTCTGGTGCCCGCTTGTTTCTTAGGTTACTGTTGTCTGTTGCTCAAGTGTTTGCTTCTATTTGGCGATGAAAGAAAAGACACAGCCAATTCTTTCCCGGCTTAAAGCAAGAATGAAGATAAAAGCCAGCATCTTTCTTCTAATGATAACTGTAAAATTCACTCAGGAAAGGCTGAATTGCAAGAGAATAGAAAGCTCTAAATTAAGCAAATAGATGCTGATAATTATACTGTTAACAAACCGCTGATACGTTCCAGCTCTTGGGTGATTCTTCCCAGGTTCTCAGCCTGAGCACAAAACTCTCCTGAGCCATTTCTATGGAGCAGTTAATATGCTTGTCTCCACTCAAGCAGATAACAGCCTTACTTATCTGCCTCGGACATTTTCATGGTTTTTGCTGAAGACCAATATCACCAGTAGTCTGGGCTGAATTTGTACTCTCGGCGACTACACTATGGTGATCCACTCTTCCCTCTCCTCTGTGCTCACTGAAAGCTTCAAGGGACATTTTGATGCAGTTAATCACAGTAGCGCTTTTCATATTCCTGCTCTGTTGTGTTTGTTTGCATTTCATCGACCTGAGAGTGTTTTGCTTGCATGAGGTTGACTTTGCAGGGTAGCTTTTTGCTTCAGGAGCCTTGATTCTTCTTTCTGAGTGCTGGTGTTTGAGCAAATATTCTTCTGGAAGCAAAACAATTTGGTTTTGAGAGACTTGGGTTCTTTTCCAGAAGTCAAGAAGCATAGTCCATCAGCAGGGCTAGCTCTGGATTTTTAACTCAAATGTACTGGCCAACAGCTTTCCATTTGCAAAGAGCTGTTTGACGACTCCTGGAGTCGGTGAGCTACGTCCAATTGGCCCATAGACTGTAGGAGAAGGGTATTCTTATGAGACGAGTAGAGTGGGCATGGGTCTAAACACAATAAAAGCATAGAGTTTTAAATAAATTGTGCACTGTCTTTAGTGGGAAACGGGAGAAGTCTATCACCAGTCATTGCATTGTACCATCTTAATCTAATAAAAAGTGTCAAAGTGACAATGTCTCTTTGCTGAATGGATTTTCTTGCCCCATCTGGTTGCTTGAATTTGTTGCCTTCATTTGAAATGTGCTGATGATCTTTTTTTTGTTCCGTAGCATTGAACAGATGGGTTGATTATTCTTTTCAGATATTAATAAAGCAGCGGAAAGAAGAAATATGAATAAGGCTTCATCAAGGTCCAGCCCAGGACGAAGGTAAAGTACCTGGAAGCAGTGAGTTATACTAGGAAGGTCAAGTTTTAGGGCGTGAGCCCACCTTCCTCTGCTAAATTTCTTTCTTTCTTCCCTCACCACCGTCTCCACAGCCAATGGAGACATTTGAGTGAGCAGTCGGGACATGGCCACTCGTTCCACAGGTGAAGGGCCTTGCTGGTCCTTGTTCTTCCTGCTGTGGCTACAGCCGAGTGCTGCTTTGCAGCATGAGGTTGTATGAGGTTGGTGGGGAAGGATAAACTGCTGTTTGTTCCTGACGGCAAGTGTCAGGGAAGCCAAGGCATCTGTAGAGAGTGCCATGGTGTAGCCTTCTCCATACTGTGCTGCAGAATACCAGCACTTGACATCTGATCTCGAAGGCTTCCAGTGCTGCTATGAGACTGGAAATGAGCCTGCAAGCAAAGCACACTGCAGGGAGCCAACTTCCCTGTGCTACACCACCCTGCTCGGCATGGACATCTAGTTCTGGATCATGGGGCTGCATCCCCTCTGTACAGTTATACAGTGGATGCTGGGCATCTGCATACTTCACCCACACATCCCTGCCCCAGTAGACTCAACACATGCAGCCTCTGCGTGTTCCTGTGTCTGGCCAGTCGCACAGCAGGCGAAGAGTCCTGCACCCAGTCCACAGTACACCATGAAGTGTGAATGGACACCCAAGGTTCCAGTCTGGCACACAACATGTAGCTTCTCCGGTGATACCACCGAGATGATCTGTGCGGAGGGAGGGGTGGTAATATTACTGCAGAGAATTCAGTCTCACGCGTCCATTTTTCATAGCTACTTTTCAAATTCCCTCTTGTCTGAGGGCAGATAAAGACCATACCCCTGGACACCCAGCACAGGGCTCCTTGCAGGCAAGGTACTGTGAGTACTTCTGTGAGGGGTCAAGTATATGTGAAACAAACATCCTCATCTGAGCTGTCTGCCTGCTGTGACATCCAGATGTACCAGAGCAAGCTGCCAAAAGGTGGTGGATGCCATGTGCTGTTAGCTAGAGACCTTGGGCAGACACTTCCCTGTGCCTCCTGCTAGGAGTAGAAGACATGCAATTTACAGCACAACTTGGGGACAGATGCATGGTATCTGTTGCACTTAACCTGCCGAGTGCAAGCAGACTTGCAGGGGTCAGATGCCCTTGGCATTGGGCCTGGGTGGTGCTGCAGGAGCGCAAGCGATGAGGGCTGGATGCCGTGGGCATTGGGCCCAGGGAGAGCCACACAGGCGCAAGCGTGGGAGTCCAGATACTGCAGGTATCAGCTCTGGCCCCTGGTGGTACTGTGGAGCGCAAGCGTGCGGGCAGCAGGGAAGGGAGCAGATGCTGTGGGCCTCAGGCCTGGGCAACATTTGGGGGAGCGCAAACGGGTGGATGCCACAGGCCTTGGGGCTGAGCAGTGCTGTGGGAGCTCTAGCCAGGAGGGGGGGTGGGGGCAGACAGTGCTGCATGCATTTGCGCTGTACAGGGCAAGCGGGCCTGGTGGACCCCTGTGAACGATGGATGTGTACGGCCCATATGCTTGTGTGTCTTGTCCAGGTAAGCACGGCTGGAATGAATACTTCACAGTGTACAATGTACTGAGACTGCAGCTGTGGCACTTGAATTGTATACTTGCCACTGACTCGTAGTAAGATGGCATGCTGTATCTCTCTGGGAGTATACAGTGAAGTCCAGATGGGTGCAATAAGTGCCGTGTTTTCTGCGGCTGTCATGTGGGGGAACATCATCTTCATCATGTCCCCTCTGGTTACACTTGGGTGAACGGGGATGCCTAGGAAGATTACTCGATGTCCTATGCAGATACCACATCTCGTACCGTAGGTCCTGGAGAGACCTTGTGTCCCTGGTACAAGTGCACTTTAATCACCAAAAAGACTTCTGCATGCACAGACAAGACTTGCTCTTTACAAGTTGCACACTGTCTGGGTTGTGAACACAGCATAGGATGTGCTGTGCAGCCCTCAGGTGTATGTGGATGTCTGAGCCATCCTAGTTTGTACACCTTCACATTTACTGTTCAGAGAAGAGGGTCCTAGGAGAGCTTGAGTTTGGGAACCAATCAACTGATATCAGAGCCTGGCTCTGGCTGGTGACTCTCAGAGCTTGCTCTCCCCTTGATTCTTAAGCGAAGCTGTCAGCGGTGCAGAATTCATCTAATAAAGGGAGGTGCCTTCTTCCTTCTTTGGAGGTGCCTCCATGCATCTTCCAGAATAGGCTAGTTGGCAAGGGGCACTTAGTAGCCTGGCCAGTATTGAAAGGAAGCTGTATTGAAATCAACTGAGTATTTCTTTCTATCATTTGGAAGTATTCTCCAGATGGTAGCCACATGAGGAGGATACTTTATCTTGAAGCACAGTGCTCCCATTCCCAAAGTGCTTATGCATTTGTGATTCAGAATAGATTGAAAGTCATCTTTGCTGAGCAAAACCAGCTGGGATTTGGAAAAGGGCTTAGTATTTTGGAAAAGAAGGCATGTAATCTTGCACCTCCCTGCCTCTGCTTCTGCCTGAGTCTGGTATGCAGGCTTGATATAATCAAAAGCCTGGTGAGAGAGGTCATACAGGTACCTGTTCCTGCTGGCAATGCAGAGCTGGATAAGTTAGTCCTGTCCTGATCGGAGGCATCCTGCAGTCCAGTGTCAAGACGCAACAGTGGCTGGCACTGGTCTCTAGTAACTCCACAGAACCAGTCATGAGAAGGAGCCTGCTGTTTCTGTGAACACAACACGCTCTTCTGAGAAGAATTCCATTACCAGTGTTCTGCTGACCCTTTTTCTAAGTGATAGGTTGAACGGCTGGTCCCTCTGACTCTGCGAACTGTGCATCCTTGGGGATGTGGGGACATGGCACCCTAAGCCTTTTGTAACCATACTCCTCAAAACAAACACTGCGTGTGAAAGTCTCTCGCGGTCTTTGAGGCTGTGCAGCGATGCCTTTCTTTCTGGCTGTTGCTCTCTTGTTCCCCATATGCACTGCACTCTTAGGGGTGGTTCAGAGTGCATTCTCTGGACCTTGCTGGTCTGTGCAAGACACGTGGATAAAGGAGCCTTTTCAGATGACTTGATCACCACCCATTTGGACATTTCTAGGTATGGTTATTTTGCTGGGGGATGAATAAACTTTCTCCCCCTCTTAGGCACTGCAGGTAAGAGGTCTAGGCTTGTTGATGTTCACCTGACTTTCCATTAATGGGTTTTCCTGGTACCTTCCCCAGGGAGCCATATGTGTATGGAGATGGCCGGGATGGAAGACGCGATCGGTCCCCTCTTCGAGGGAGCCCCCGAAGAGAGCCAAGGGATAGCAGGGATGGTAGAAACGGCCGAGATTCCAGGGATGCGCGCGAGATTCGTGGGCGAGACATGCGTGACTCCAGAGATGCCAGAGACCACAGAGACCCCCGGGACATGAGGGACCCTCGCGACTTCCGGGACATGAGGGACCCTCGCGACTTCCGGGACCCCCGAGATGTGAGGGACCCTCGCGAATTCCGGGACCCCCGAGATGTGAGGGACCCTCGCGACTTCCGGGACCCTATGTATGATCGCTACCGAGATGTGCGGGAGCCCCGGGAACCCGTGTACAGGTACCTCGCCGCCAGGCTGTGCTGGCCAAGCTAGTGGAGCATAAGGCTGCCTTTGTGATTGTGGGGGCAGGGAGGTAGTGGATTGTCAAGCTGTTTGGAAGATGTGGTACCTGCTTGGTAATATGGGGAAGGAGAGGTAGGTCCATACTAGGGGTTGGAAGGTTAGTGTGCAGCATGCTGGAGAAGTTGGTGTGCTGCCTATGGGGTTATGCTTGTGCATGGGACCCCTCATTTCTGGCTGTGAATGGCTTGCTTGCAGGAGAGAGGAATCGTATGACCGCTACACTCGCATGGAAGACTACTACCGGAAGAAGGATGACTCTTGCTATGACCGTTACAGAGACGACTTTGACAGACCCCCCTTGAGTTCAGAAGGTCAGTGCCCCAAGGAAAAGCACATCAGCCAATTTGGCATTCTCATGCGCAGGTTGCCCCACTTGGAGGAGGTGGGAGGTTGCATTCAGCTGTGAAATGAACTGAGGGGTACTGCTAACCTGTATCCAACGCAGTAGAACCTCTGGCGTTGCAGGCTGCTGGAGTAGGTGGACTGCGTGTAGCAGAGGCCCGAGTGGGTAGAGGGGCAGTGTTCCTTCCATTTCCGTGGCTTCCTTTCAGAGCGACTGAAACGTGAGGAGCGCCGCAGGGAGGAGCTGTACCGCCAGTATTACGAGGAAATCAAGCGGCGCTTTGAAGCAGAGAGGCCTGTGGACTGTTCTGTCATAGTGGTCAATAAGCAGACAAAGTAAGGAGCTATTTGGCATGATCAGCTGGATGCTGTGTGTCTGGAATAAAAAGGAGAGCAGGTTTTCAGAGCAGCTTGCCTTGCACCTTCTTGAATGGAGAGAGGCTTTGAGTAGTGAGAGTTTTTCCTTTACTGCTTTGACAGAAAACACTTGCAGTATTGTGACCTTTTAAATTTGACTTGTTTCCCTCCTTTCCCTCTTACTATACCAGCGTGAAATGTCATTCATACAGAGCTAGCTGCAGTAGTCATTACTTGTTGTTCTGTCCATTCATTAACTTATTCATTATTGATTAAGGAATGGGGCTACCACGCATCAAGAAGGTGCCCATTAAGTAGATTAGGAGCTAGTCAACCTGATGTGCATCTAATAGCAGCTGTTGACAGGGAATCCTCACCAATGGTGGATATGTCTAGTGATGTTCTGCAAGGATCTGTGTGCAGTCTCGCGCTATGTAACACATTTATTAATGGCCCTGGACACGAGTTAAAAAATATCACAGATGAAAAAATCTGTGAATGGTGTGAAGACAGGGAGGAGGGCAAATGATGAGGACAAGGCACTGGTGCAGTTCCCTGGAGGCCCCTTCCAGTACAATGTGTGCAGGTCATGGATCTGGGAATGAAAGGGGTTGGGCACATCTCCAGAGCAGGGTGCTTGATCCATGACTTCCCAGGACCTGAGAGAGAGGGTTGTAATGGAAAGGCAGCTTAGCAGAGGTTCCCTGTGCATCACCTTGGCCAAAAAGGCAAATGTTGGCTTTGCTTGTATGGATGGCCAGGAAACAGGGAGGCAGTTTTCCCTCAACACAGCCCTGATGAGATCGGTGCCAGTGCTGCACCTGTGTGCACCGTGAAAGGATGTTGAAGAACAGCATATTGGAAGAAAGCCACAAAAGTGGTTTGGGAACCAGAAAAAAATGCTTGATTGAGAGCCTTCAGCTCAGCCCATTCGGCTCATCAGAGAGCCCAGAGTCGCTTAATTGCAGTCTGTGTGCACCTTCCCAGGGTACGACTCAGAGTGCTGAAAGGTGCAGCAACAGCCAGCATCTGGAAGCTGAAGCCAGACCTGATTTGAGATAAGGCATGTCCTTAGATGGGAGCAATTAACCCTTTGAGTAGGCTCTCAAAGAAAACAGTGGGTTCACCAACCCTGGGCGCCTGCCTGGAGGATGCTTACATCAAGTGTAAGCTGTTGGGCTCAGTGCAGGGGGCATGCAGTGGAGTGGTGTTACCTAGGATGGCAGAGTGTGTGATCCCATGGTACCTCTTGGTCATAACAGACACGACTCTTGAGGGCTGAAGGTAATGGGGAATCTGGGTTCTGAGATGTGGATGACGGCTTCTCTAGGAGTATTGAAACATGGCTTTATTATAATTTGGCTTTGTAGCCATGTCCAGATTACTGTAAATACAAAGAACAGGCCACATTGACATCAACAGCTGTCAGCAGGTCTCAGATTCCTGTTGGCCGGGTACTGAGTATAGCTGTAGCCCTGCCTGTTTTTGTGGAGGCTGTTATTTCTGCCTTAAGTGACCAAAGCTCCACCTGCTTCAGTTGAACTAGTTATCTGAACATGTTGGAGCTCATGCGGATGCTGGTGTTGGCTAAGCTGAAGTTAGTTCTGAATAGATTCCAGCTAAACAAAAACAAACGGGGCTTCACACCAGAACAGCTATTCACACAGGCATTTGTCATTTTAACTAGCTGGTTCAGAACCCCCTTCCGTTCCACTGGAGCTGCCTAGCCATGTAGACAGACCATTAAAGAAATGAAGGCAGAGGTGTGGGCACAGTGTGCCAGGGTATCTGTGCATTACCTGGGCTGCTTTCCCTTTGTGCAGGGAGTATGCGGAGTCAGTAGGACGGAAGGTGCGGGACCTGGGCATGGTGGTGGACCTGATTTTCCTCAACACTGAGATGTCTCTGTCTCAAGCCCTGGAGGACGTGAGCCGAGGCGGCTCTCCCTTCGCCATTGTCATCACCCAGCAGCACCAAGTTCACCGCTCCTGCACTGTCAACATCATGTTTGGCACACCCCAAGGTACTGGGTCTCAGGGGGACAGGGTGCCATGCAGTCACTGCTGGCACGGGTTGTGCTGAAGGGCTGGAAGAGCTGCTGCACTGATTGTTCTGTCAGGCAGAAGTGCACAGAGCAGAACACATGTGGCTGCATGTTGAGGGGAAGGGGAGCAGGGCTCAGCAGCCTAAGCAGATTATTTATTCAGTGTAAGCACAACCCTGCCAATTAAAGGCTTGAGGCAGCTTACAGTAGAGAGCACAGTAACTTAGAGAAACAGTATAACTTTCATGAGTCATCAGAGCTTTAAAATCACCTGTAGAACACCTCACCATGGTATCCCTGCCTAGCTCTGCCTGCTGAAGGGCATGCTCAGATACGGTCTTGCAGCACTTCCAAAAGCTGCCCTTGTCCCAGCTCTGGCAAACCTCAGGGCGAGGGAGTTGAGCGGCTACTACTGTGAATGACCTCCCTTTGCATTCACCTGGCAGGCTTGGCTCATACCATGGGGCTTGCAGGAGGTTGCGCTGGGCTGACCTTCAGAATTACGGTGGGGTGTGAAACACAGGTCCTTTAGGTAGGCAGGGCCTAGGCCTCATACCTTCTGCACATTAGATTAGGGAGCCCTTACTGACCTGTTCGGACTCTATATGTGCCCCAGGAAGACTGATGGCAGACAAGGAGGGGTGGTTGGGTTGTGCCCTTGGTTGGCAATGTACAAAAGAACCCAGAAGCTTTTCTCTGCTTGTTGCTCTGCTGCTCAGAGCACAGTGCCAAAACTCAAGGAGTTCCTTGCTGTGAAGGCTTCTGGAAGGAAAGAGAATCCTGTTGTTGTGCTTTGTGGCTGGGGCCATTCAGGAACTGTGGCAGCTGAGGCATGACTCCAGGACTGAGCAGTGGATTCACAAGCTGGGAGGAGCTGCCACCTGTTCGGTCAGGAGTCTGAGGAAATGATGCAAGTCCGGGCTGGAGCAGTGACGGGTGTCAAGCAGTTTGATCAGATTAGCTGGCCTGGGCCTGGAGCAGAGCACCTGGTGTCTTAGCTGCTCCCTTCTTTCCTTGTATAGAACACCGCAACATGCCCCAAGCTGATGCCATGGTGCTGGTGGCAAGGAACTACGAGCGCTACAAGACAGAGTCACGGGAGAAGGAGCGTGAAGAAATAGCCCGGCAGGCTGCCAAGATGGCGGACGAGGCGATTCTGCAGGAGCGTGAGCGGCCACCTCCCGTGGAGGAGGGGGCACGAGGGGGGCACCCCCCTGGGATCCAGGTGCTCCTGAACCTGCTGGCAGACAACCGCTACCTGACTGCCGAAGAGACCGACAAGGTCATCAATTACCTGCGAGACCGGAAGGAGAGGCTGCTCCGGGGGAGCTCTGACCCTTTGCAGGGTGAGTTCCCTGGCTGGAGGCAGCAGTGGCTGACCCTTCAGGCTGGGGCAAAGGAACATGGGCCCAGGGGGCTGCTTTGGGGCCATGGTGGGGAGGTGTAGATTTGTAACTTGGGCTCTGGCTGCCACCTGTGGAGTTCTAACAATCTGGGGAAGGGCCTTGCCCCAGGGCTTGCAGGGACAGGCTATGATTTGGTCTGGTTGGGGTGTTGTGCCTGGAGGTGGTTCTGTCCACAACCTGCACCAGGGCATGGTCTCCCTCCTGCGGTGGGTAGCAATTGGCTTGTGTGACTTGGGGATTCACCTGCGGGGCTGTTCTCCAGTGCTGGCACAGCCGGGTCTGTGGAGCACTAACCCTCTTCTCTCACTCTCCAGCTCCTCTGTCAAGACAGTCCCTTGGGGCCCCTTCGGGATCCTCTCTGGCTGGCCAGTCCAGCCACCCCAGCTCCCAAGCCCATCAGAGCACCCCAGCCCTTGCTTCTGCCAGCTCTGCTCCAGCGTCCTCTGCGAACCCCCAGCAGGAGCTGCAGGCAAAGATCCTCAGTCTCTTCAATAGTGGGGCGGCAGCAGCAGCCGCAGCAGCAGTGGTCAATAGCAGCTCTGTGGTGCCCCCGGCGGCCTCGGGCGGTCCTCAGAACCCGAACTTAAACCAGTCCCAGCAGAGAATGCAGACCCCGGGCAGCCAGCTCCCTTCGCTCGCCGCTGCTGCCAGGAATGCAGGCCCGCGGCCTGGAGCGCCACAGCAGGGCCCTGCACTCTACGGGCAGCACCAGAATCGTCTGCCAGCCCCAAGCAACGTGGCGGCCCAAAGGCCAGTGTCTTCTGGCATCAACTTCGACAACCCCAGCGTGCAGAAAGCCTTGGACACCCTCATCCAGAGTGGTCCTGCGCTCTCCCATCTGGTGAGCCAGACGGTGGCCCAGGGGCGGGCGGGGGCCCCAGCCCAGCAACCCATGGGCTCCTACCAGCGGCACTACTGAAGCTGAGCTGGAGCCCCCCCTTCCCCCCTCCCCCTGCATTGCCATACTCCTAGTTGTTTGAAGAGTCTCTTCCTGCCCCTGATGCGGGCCCATGTCCTGGCACATGCATGTCCTCTCTGCTGTGGGGAGCTCACACCAGCACCCTGGCTGCTGAGAGCTGCTGGTGCTGCCTTTGCTCTCCTTTCTTCTCTTCTCTTTGGCTCGGTTGGGTGCATCTCCAGAGTGAAAAATGAGCTTGGAGCTGCTCTGGGTCACTGACTCTTGTTCCAGCTGGAAGCTGTTCTGGTGGCAGCGTATCTGCCCCTCCCCAATGCTGGCATGGCGTGTGCACCCCACATGCTCTGCCTAGCTTTGGGGTCAGTTTTGGGTATGCGGTTTGGGATAAGTCTTTGAGGGACGTGGACAAGGGGGAGGGTGCAGTGTGTGGCCTGGGTTTTTGTGGGCTGCTTTGCTGGTCCCTGATAAGTCT